GATAAATGTCAATATTTGTAGAGGGGCTTTAGGCCTTTTGGTCATAGGGTTGCTATGAGTCATGCGCAACTCAAAAGCAATCAACAACAACATTATAGATAAGGTAAATAGTAGCAATCTCATTAATAATATGTATTTATTTTAGTCATTAAAACCCAGTAAGTAGGTAGTAAGAAACCATGAGAATTGATCAAAAGCATGTGGTTGGTATGTGGTGAATATTATTATACATGAAACAAATGGCTTGAAGTGACCAAATAATAATATTAGTTTTTAAAAGCTAGCTATCTCTTCAGTTAAGATTTTTATTCAAAGACAATTTGTCTTTTTTAAAAAAAATATTGTTAGCTCCTTCAACATAAAAAGAATGAAACTTTTCATCACTTCCCCATCATCTGAAAGAAAGTCAGGTATATCAGCATATCTGCCTTAATATATTCATCAGGACAAGAAGTGACATAAAAGATTCATACTTCCTTTAAAATAACACTGTAATTTCTAAAGATTTCTTTTGTAAAGGGGTGCCAAAAAACAGAAAAGGCAAAATGAGAAAGAAATAGAAGCATGATGACTTTTCACCCCTCCTGCAGGGAGCTGCAATTATTTGGGGAGGGCAGAATGTCAAGATCCACCAGGCTGAACTTTCTCCTGTCTTCTCTGAGAGAACTGAACCATTGGGTTGCAACCAAATGAAGCTGAAATTGGTTTTTAGTAAGATTGCTACTGTTTGCACAAATCACATGAGGGCTTGTTTGCTGATGGGTCCTGGTGTATTTTTGGATCTTTTCACATCAATTGATTTCATTTCAAGCCATTTGCTTTGGCTAAAGATGATAAAGGGAAGCAATCGAAAAACAACAACAAAAGGCTGAAATGACCACCACAGGCAATGGGGCAATTGCAAAGAAAAGAATCACAACCAAAGCAATAACTTACGGTAGCTACTCTCGCTATCGCTGGCATTAGAAGAAACATGTTCTGCAAGAACAGCACAGCAAATTAAAGAGATACCAAGCATTGGCGAGCAGCCAGAACTTAAAGGAATACACTCATGCAAGGCTACTAGAAATGTGAGCCAAAAGCAAGTGAAAAGCCACAGAGGAGACTGCCTTACGAAAAGTCATAGAGAAGATAAAGAAGATGAAAACTTTATCTCTCTTACAAGGCTACTGCCTGGCCTTCTTTTTCAGCAAAGAAGGAAATTATCTTTAATTATGACTAAGTATTATGTCAGCATAAGAAGATTTCTTATTGGAAATACTTTGATCTTTTTGTTTGATTGTGATTTTTCCAGGATCATATGTCTTGACTAGATAGAATTCTTGGCTCCACATACAGGAGCTTCTGGTGTGTAGGCACTGTTTTCTTGTAGGCTTTTCTGTTTCTCTATTTGAGCCTTTAGGCATTTTTTAGAAACACTGCATTTCAAATCACCAGCAATTCCTGGAATCCCTTAAATTTTATTTCTATTTAAATACTTCCTAATAGATCTTCAGGATGAAAAGAGATTGTTGAAAACCTTTTCTGCTTCAATGAGTGAGTCTTAGACGAAGACATGAGTCACTGAAAACTGTTATGACTCAGTTCAATATTCCTTTGTTTATATCTAGAGGAAGGGAACAGGCAAGAGACAAGCGGCCTGATACCTGATGCTGATGCAAAGTATGTTTTTCATTCAAGTTGGATGACTTGACTGATCATATTCCAAATTGGCTTTTCAGAAAAATACAGTTTAGTTAACATAATAGGAACTTAGTGGTATGGCCTGGGGGTGGGGGTGGGGGGAATACTTTTCTCTCCAACATCATTTCCTTTTACCTGTACTTCTCAAATCTATACATTGACTTAGCAAACTCTGGATATCGAATTAATTATCAAATGGGTGATTTTGATTTTGAGAACTCCTTAGTAGAGTAGTAATGTCAGTATTTTGAAAAGTGTGAACACTCTTGCACACTTATTAGAAAGAGCAAAGTATATGACATTAATATGATTATCTGATTTAAAAAGGGGTCTTAAAATGCATTTGACAGTACAGATTCTTGCCACTTAGACGAAACAATTTTACAGCATGAAACAAATGGAAATAAAAATGTGGAGTAAATCTCCATGGGTCATTTCTCATTATGTTGGTGGTTTATGACCATAACTACATCATTAATTTCAGCAAACCATTAATAATAGAAAAGAGGCAGTAGGGAATGAAGTAGGATGTACAATGCAGCATTGTTTTTGTCACTGAAGAGTGAAGCCAATAAGAATGTATTTTTATGTACAAAAGGAACGTCATTATCTCAAATATCTTGAACTGGAGATGACAGTTTCCTATTCTGAATTCTTAAATAATTAAAAATGATGTATATTATTTATGGAGAAATTTAGAAGCAAGCAGTGATTTATTTAACAACTTGTCTTTTTTTTAGTGTCTATAAATTGTGTAATAAAATGATTCCATTTGGTAGATAGAAGATTAAAATATGTTGTAGCAATAGCCCAAATTATGGCTAACAATAGCATTAATTGGCAACTACCTTTACCTAGCAACATCTGTTCAGTTTTTAAAAAGTATACAAAAATTTGGCAGTTGTGAATTTTAAAAGACCATTAGTCATATTTTTGACACTCAAATGGCAACTCCCTTTTATTGATGTTTCCTTATTAACAATATACTAAATTGCTTCCTTTCCCCCTACACTGGAAATTTCTAACATTCTCTGTGCTTGATGCTATCCAGATAATGTTAGAATATTTGAAGTGTAGGTATGCAGTCATGAAAAATTTCATGACATATTTCATATAAAAAGACTTGAGATAAAGTTTTCATCTTTAAGGAGAAAAGTGGTTACTCTTGATTAGATTTGTTCTCTCTTGTATAAGAAGACGTGTTTAAATGAGCAATTAGAAGGATGAAGAAGATCATTATGCAGCTCTTACAAATAAAGTCCAGCTCGATGCTATTTTGTTTTACACACATGAAATGAAAAGCTTCTAAAAAATATTGCCTATAGCTATTAAATTGAAAAGGAAAAAAAAATTAAAAACAGAAAAATCAATGAACATGTGATACAGTTGCAAAAGACACAAAACTGTGTTCTTATTTCACTGGTGCCTATGCAATGGAGTTAGAAGTAAAGAAAGAAAAATCACAGTATATTCATACATGGGAATATTACTTTTTTTAACAGCTCAATGTAGTGAGACACAAACTAGTGGCATTAATAACTAAATAATTTAAATTTACTTTACTTTCACTACATTCTATAAAGTAAAAACCTAATTATAGAATGCACCTAATAAATCATTGATTGAAAAACATTACTACATATCTAAAACTTCATCATACAAACATATCAAGCAGGATCACTGCAAGTCAGAAAAAAAAGTCAATCAATGTTAGATAAGAAAGAATTATTCATGAAAGATCAAAGAGCTTAATATTTACATTTTTGAGAATGCATGTTCCTTTTGACTATAAAATAGCTCCTTTACTAATGGCAAATACAGCCCAATTACGGAATTTAGCAAGGTCATTAAATATTTCTGTGTGAAAGGGCAGAAGAAAGAACATAACATCTCTGCTCTCCTTTTCTAGAACATTTAGCTCACCCTTTCTTTCAACATGGTTTCTTGCTCCCTGTCAGACATTAGGCGGCAGAGCAAGTGATGCTACAGTTGGCATCAGGACCATGTTGATCGTAACACACAGTCAGAAAGGGAAGGTGTTAACTGCAAAAGAAGTTAGAGTGCCTGACACACTTTGCTTTTAAATGCTGACATGCAGAACAAAACAATTGAAAATTACTTTGTAGGAGCATTCACAGCTAGATAACAAATAAAACTCGAATCTTGTGCATGCTAGGAGTGAAGTTCCTCAAGAAAAGGAACAAAAGCCAAACTCAAAAGGAAAGGAAAAGAAAAGAAAAGTTACAGTGACCATTCCTGGGAACTTACTCAGAGTCTTTGTTCCATAACCGTCGTCACCTAATCCGGGGATGTCCTGCATGGAAGTCCCCAGAGAGAGCAATGAGAGAGGAAGAACAGCCACGGAAGAGGAAGGAAGAAGTCAGTGGAGTTGAAATGGATACTACCATGACAGACTGTGTTGCCTAAGCAATCTGGATCCTGCTCTCTCTCCTTTCAGACAATTTTCAGCAGAATCCCTTGGGCTGAGACTCAAGAAGGAAATGTTCTTTCTGATTTGCAAAACAGCTCTAAAAGTTAAATGGATTGTAAAACAAAAAATTGTAAAGCAAATGCTGAATCTTTTGCCCATGGTCAGTGTTGCCATAGAAACAGACCACTTAGAACAGTGGTCCACTCCCAATCTCAGGGCATATTCTTAGCTTTAGTATCAAGACAAAGTCACTGCTTAGCAAATAAGCATTTAAAGTTTGATAAGAGGGAAAAGGTGGGCAAATAATTAATATAGGCAATTTATCAGTCCCATTTATAAATGATGTGGTTAATGTACCACTGAGTTGGAATCAACTCATAGCTGACCTTCCAATGGGTTTTAAGAGGCAGTAAATCACATGGAAGGAGATTGCCCATCTTTCTCCCTTCGTGCAGTTGGTGGATTTGAACCACATGCCTTTGGTTGGCAGGGCATCTCTTTATCCCCAGGTCACTGGAATTAGCAGGCCAAAAAATTGTAGGTGGCAATGGAATCCAATATTGCTGTCCAGAAATGAATGTTTCTCAAGCCCTAGAGGATTGTATGAGAGAAAAGTCAAACCAGCCCCAAATCCTGGTCACAGATAAATGCTGGTTGGAAACAAAGTCCCAGTTTCTAGAAGTCTCTCTTCAGTGAAAGGCTGTATCAAGGGAAGGATCCAGACTGCAGTCAAGCACTGGTCACAGTAGTAAGACCTGACCTGCCTGCCTACGGTGTTTGTTTGCCTAGGCGTGTGGCGTGGAGGAGCCTATATCATGCGTGTTGCCCGTGAAGGATTTTTTTCCTCTTGTGTTGCGTGTGACATTGTCTCCAAGAATCTACTTACGTTCAGGATCACTGGTTTCCTGCTCACTCTGCTCCTTGTTCTTGTAGAATGGGAATTTTCGTGAAAAGATGAAGCTCTTTTTACGCTTGTCATTGAATGACTGTGAAGGAGAAAAGGCATGGGGCAAAAACAGGGGACGTCTAATTGTTGTCACACTCATGCTGACAAAACAACTAGTTTGTAAAAGCAGAGAGAGCTGTAGTGACGCAAGTGGACGCTCTAAAGCGGTGCCGGGTTGTATCGGAAAGTGAAATATTGACTTTCCAGGTGTGCAAATTCAGAAAGGGAAGTTACCTCCTAACTACAAGACGAGTTGCAGATAAATTTTGGTGGAAGAAACAGGGTCTTAAATTGGAGCTTGAAAACCCAAGTTTCCATCCTGGCTTTACAGCTTGCTAGTCAATGATTTCTCTCTAAACTGCAGTATCATCACCTGCAAAATGAGGACAATGATAGCAGCTCTTAGACGATGTATCTCCCACTAGACAATGTAAATGTCAAGTGCTAGAGAAATATCTTCATCAGGTGAAAAAAGACATCATCAAGGAAATAGGTTTCCTTAAAAGAGTCTTGATGTCTTTCTTAAATACACAGCATTGGGGTTACTTCTGTTTAGTCTTAATTAAAACTACATTAAGAAGAGTGCAGATTTATGGTAATGATAATATTATAGCACTATTTATTCTGAGGACATTTTAAAGGTAGTTAACCTCACTCATTTTGTAGACAAGGAGTTAGTGGCATGGAGAGGTTGAGCCTATTGCTAATACTACACAGCTGGTCAGTGACAACTGGGTAAGAGCCAATAAAAATCCATTGACATTGCTCTATAGGAATACTGATATTGACTCAGCATGGGAGAGATATTGATCAATCATCTATATTCTGACAAGATCAGAATAAAGGAAGGCTGTCTTCAACATATAAACCACTCCCTTAATTTAAAAATTTAAATTGGGTCATTTTCTTTTTTTAAAAAAATGTATGTACAGATATGATTCTGTAGGAAAGTAACATTTGCTCCACTGCTGTTGCTACTATTCAAGAGGTTTGTGGACTTCTTTGAGAATTATATTCATTGTCACTTTATAATCTATAGGCCATGCATGTGTTACTAATCTCTTATTCACATATTTAAGAAATATTTTCCACCAGCTTTTTTTAAGATTTGACTCATTTGGCTCTGAAGGTCTTTTAGCTACATAATAAAATTAAAGGCACTATCCAAGAAATTACATATGCTATTAAAAAGGTATTAAAATGAATGTGCCAAAGACTGAAAGGAATTTGAAAGAAGGTATTCTAAAGTCATTTTAGCAATGGCAGGTGTAGGAATAAAGGTAGAGCCAGCAGGGTGACAACTTGGAAGGAAACATTGATTGGAAGAGTGCATTTGGGCTCTTGGTGGAAATCCATGCCTTTTCTAAGGGATTTGAAGCGTGACAATGATTTCAACAACTTATTTTTTCTATATACACATGCCCTCCTGCATTGGTATCCATTTGATAATTGTGGTCATTTAGGGAACATTTAAGTACTAAAATATTGGTATTATCTTTTAGCAATTCCTTGCTTTTGTAAATATTAGGTACTTTGGCCAAAGTCAGTGGAGCCTAAGAGAAAACAAGTATTTATTAATTTCTGAAGATAGGAACCAAATTCGATGCTTCATAAGCAAGGACTGGTAAAAAAAATGTTCTCAGGGGAAAAAGAAGTATCACTTGAAAACTTCTTAATCTATGGACAGCCTCTCTACGTTCAATACAGTGCTATCATAATTTGTAATTAAGGGTTAGTGTTCAAAGACAATGCTGGAAATTCTCCCTAATTTTCTTCTTTAAAAAAAATCATAGGTCTTTAAAGGAATGTTAGTTATTTTTGCATCACTCCAGTTTCATGCCACTTTTACATTTCAAGCATATTTAAATTTCAATAACTGAAAATAAAAGGAAAGAAAATAATGTAAGAATTAATGACATGTGATACAGCAAGGTATGTTAGAGACTTAACTTCAACATTATGGATGACTTGTCATGCAAACATAATAAAAAATTTCATGCAAATACAAAACAGTGCCAAGAGGAAGAAAGCCTGGAGTTAAAATGTAGACACAAATGGACAATGTAGAGGACCTCTGAGGGTCCACAAGGAGGCTGCATGCAAACCACATCGTTTAAGTTGTATCGAAGGGTCAAAGGAAAATGGAAACGTGTTGTCTGTGATTAAGTCTTTTATCTTTTCAAAGCAAAGAATGTAAAGTGTTAACATGTCCCAAGGATGAAAATGTTGTGTATCAAGAGTTATCTGATTGGGACATAATATTGAACACCACACTTTTACAGGAACAGAAAATACATCATATCTCAAAAGTAAAATTATCTAATGTGTCAGTCTTATTATCAAAAGTAACTTTCAACTGTAGTTAAAGTGAAGGCAATGGAGTTTCTAGTTAAACTTTCTTAGATTTATGGACACAAAGCCAAATCAAATCTTTAGTTTATACTCATACAGTTAAGAGTCACACCTTTAAAGGATCTTAAACATTTCAACTATAAGAGGATGTAACTGTTCATAATACTTTAACACTAGTTTTTATTAGACATGTATAATACCATTATATAAGCATCGTTCTTTGTGGGTATACATTTTCTTTTAATTTGGAAAACCAAAATATGTTACATGAGAGTTAGGTGAGAATAATAAATTAGCACTTTTACTATTTATAGAACACATACTTCTAAAGTAACTGAAGATAGTTTAGAGCTCTATTCTTACTTCTACTTGATCAATTCTAATCCTTCTCTTTCTACATTAGTATTAACTTAAATCCTAACCCATTGTTTTCATGGTAGGAATCTTTAGAGAATGGAAACTTCTTTTAATAGAAACCTTTAAAATACCAATCACAGGTGATAAGGGGCAAGTGATCATATCTGAGAATTCCATTTCAGAATTGGGCCTGAATCTGAGTTATTATGAATAAAAGCTATAACAACACTGATTGAGCACATGGTATATGTCAGGCATATTCTAAAAGTGCTACATGTGCTAATCTTCATGCTAACTCCATGAGGTGGTACTGTCATTATTTCCATATTGCTGATAATGAAACTGAAGTTTTTACATTTCCTGCAATTGCCAAGAGTCATTTAAAAAAGGTATCAATTTGCAGACATTTCTAGTTGCAAATGATTTTTTGAGTAAAGCAAATCTAGCAACCTAAGTCAGCTTTAAGCTGTTACCTAACACTAGACTCTCTTTAAACAATAGCACATTCTACCATTATTGTCTCTCTAGCTTACTGCTTGGCAATTATTCATTTAAACCATTACCTACTATCAGTTTCAGTAATATTTTTGTTGGTTGTCCTGTTACAATTTTTCATGCCTCTGGAAACTCTATGAACTTTGATAAATGTCAATAGTTGTAGGGGGGCTTCAGGCCTTTTGTTCATAGGGTCGCTATGAGTCGTGCTTGATTTGAAGACAATCAACAACAACATTTTTGAGGGACTTAATCTATTTTTTCTCACTATTATGACAAGTAAAAAAAGTTAAATGGAATAGTCTATAGACGGATGGCAATTAAAAGAATTTTCTAAAAGAGGCAAATTTATGGAGACACAGTAGATTAGTGGTTACTTAGAAACAGGAAATGATGGCAAAAGAGTTATGTGGGGACAAAAATATTCTAGATTATAGTATAGGTTGCATAATTCTAAGATTATGCTAAAAACATTGGGGTGTAGCCTTTACATAGGTGAATTATAGATATAGATATATGAAAACCTTTGTTTTTAAAGGAAACTATACCCTAGCCTGTCATGGGTGAGAACAAATCATTATTGACATGTTTACAATTTTTACAATATTTTTTTTTAAAAAATCATGAATGAGAGGAAATAATTTTCACCAGTCCTTTTAGGTAGTCATTATTTGCCCAATTCTGTTTTGTCTGTTAATGAATACCTTTCATGTTGTGACAGACATTAGAATTCCCAAATCAGAAATCAGAGTATTATCATGGCCACTCAGACATTTCTAACTTGTCCAAATGAGATGAGATTGCTCAGACTGACCTTGAAATGTAATGACATTGGTGAACTGACTTTACATAAAATAGACATTTTATAAAGAAAGAAAGGAAACACAGTTCCACAGAATAAAACCCGTGTTCTTAAAATCCTGAGTCAATTTTGGCGACAAATTTTTTCTTTTTTTTCCCCTTAGAAAAGTTTAAGATCAGGACATGTTTTAATTCTTATATTCCTGCTTTTAATTTTTCAAACTTCAAATGTTTCTCATTTCTAAAATGTCACCTTGATGATGTAAATGTTCTCTGCACAGGATTTAAATGTAAATTTATACTGAGCTCTGATACACCTTTTTATGTGGCTCCTTTATCTTTTATAGATGTTTCTTCCCTCTTAATTCTCACTTATTACCTTGCCTCTAAAATAAATGTGGTCCCTTTGGTGTTACTATTATAATTTTGGAGCCCCATCTTGTATTATACATAGTTTGATTTTATGGAGAAAAAGAGAATTTTGAAATGAGGGATAATAGAAAGAACAATTAGAAGAACAAATAAGACAAACAGGTGTTACAGGAATGACAACAATGGTTTGAGATATTTTTGTTTTAAGAAATGTAGGTATACACATGTCTGTTGTTAGTGTTAGGGGATGCTGACTTGATTTTGACTCATAGTGACCCTATGTGACAGAGTATAACTGTCACCTAAGGTTTTATAGACTGTACTCTTTACTGGAGCAGATCACAAGGTATTTCATCTGCATAGCTGCTGGGTGGTTTTAAATCACCCACCTTTTGATTGGAAGCTGAATTCTTAACCCATGTGCCAACAGAGCTTCTGAGAATCTTTAACATTGCCCAATTAAAAATAAGTTCTTATAAAAATCATAATGAATCAATGGATTCAGACATTGAAAATTAACAGCTGCCAACATTACCAAAAAAAAGATGAATAGATGTTATATGCTTCCTAATGAAAGAGAACAAAATATTTTTTTAAAACTACAACCTAAAATCCCTATTTCTAAAATGATGAAATTTGAACCCAATTAAGCCTTTAGCTCTA